CACCGCCCTGAATAAGAAGGGAGAAAGTCTCGAGCGGGAGCCGTGGTTTTGTCGGGACGGGGGCTGTCGGCGGCGAGGAACAGCACCGTCCTGAGGAAAAAGGGAGGAACCTCGAGCGGGAGCGCTGTTCTTGCTGGGAGCGGCGCCAATTCAAAGGAGAGTAGGGCGCCAGTCCAGCGTAAAACGGGAGGAAGTCTCGGGCGGGAACGCTGGTTTGTCTGGGCGGCGGTTTTCGGCGGCGAGGAGGAGCACCGCCTTGAGTAAAGAAGGGAGGAAGTCTCGAGCGGGAGCGTTGTTGTTGCTAGGAGCGGCGCCGATGAAATAAAGAATAGCGCGCCAGTCCAAGGTAGAACGGGAGAAAGTCTCGAGCGGTAGCGCTGGTATTGTTGGGACGGCAACTTTCAGCGGCGAGCAGGAGCACCGGCCCTGAGTAAAAAAGGAAGAAGTCTCGAGCGGGAGCGCTGTTGCTGTTGGGGGGCCGGTTTTGGCGCCCGCCCAAACCGCTCGAGCGTGAGCCTCATTATTTTCAATGAAGATATAGCCGGCGCCAAGGCGAGAGCGCCAAGGCGCCTGGGAAGGGGTCCAACAATAACAATTGCTTAGAAATAAAAATTCAACAACAACAACAACAACAACAACAACAACAACAACAACAACAACAACAACAACACCAACGACAACAACAACAACAACAACAACAACAACAACAACAACAACAACAACATCAACAACAACAACAACAACACCAACAACAACAACAACAACAACAGCAACAACAACAACAACAACAACAACAACAACAACAACAACAACAACAACCTCAACATCAACGACAACGACAACGACAACGACAACGACAACGACAACGACAACCGCAGCAACAACAACAACAACAACAACGACAACAACGACAACCACAACGACGACAACAACAATAATAATATCACAACAAGCAGAATTCTCGCCGCAAGTTCTTATTCAGCCACGCACCCAGGGGCAATGAATGACCGTTCGGCCGCCTCCCTCTGACATATATAGATACAGCACGCATGTATATATATAGATATACACACACATGTATCAAGACGTATACTAGAACCACGCGTGTTTCGCACTCGAGGAGGTACTGGCACCCCCCAACCATCGACAGCAACTCGGCTGTAATTACGCGTACACGAACATAACGTATGGGCTGGGCAGAACTTGCGACGTCTAGAACAAGGGCACCCTCAGAGCGCCAGGGGGGGACCTCACCAAAGGACCCTCCATCTTGCCTCCACCTCCTCCTCCTCCTCCTCCTCCTCCTCCTCTTCCTGTTCGTCAGCTTCCCTTTCACTCCTCCCACCTCTCCGTCCCTCGTTCCCCTGGCCCCCATCGTTGCAAACCCATCGCCTTCCCACAGCTCACATGACTCGCCCTGCTCCTCCTCCCCCCCCATCCCCCCCCTCGTCCACGCATCCTCGCCCATCCTCCCCCTGCCCTCCCCCCTGCCCCACCCCTGCCTCCCCCCCCTCCCTCGTTGCCCGCGGCCTCACGCTGCTGGACGATCGCGCGGCGGCCCTCGGGCTCCCGTGTGGGCACTCTCGCGCTGTGCCTCCTCTGGCGCCTCTCTGGCGCCTCCCTGGGGCTGCCTGGAGGGCCCCCTGGGGCCGTCGTCGGGGCCACCTCGGGGGCCCCGAGCCCGAGAAGGGATCGGGAAATGTGAGGCATGGCAACGCTTTCAAAGACACCTGATTGGGCGACGGGCAATTGCAATGCCGAGTGTATCGATCTTGGTGCACCGTGCCCAAAGCTGTGCTGTGCTGCGCCGTGCTGAGCTGCGATGTGCCATGCCGCGATTGTGCGTATAGCGTTGTGGATCGAATCCTCCTTGGCATCGAGTCCTGACCGAACTGATGTGGATCTTACGCTCGAGCTGCCTGAGCAAATAGTAGCCGCCCCATAGCTAGTTGAAGTGGAAGCGTGGAGGACGTTCAATCAACTCGACCTCAAAATCCGACTCGATTCCGAAAAGGAACGACACGACACGGGGCACAGGCTCACGGATGCGCCACAGGATGTGCCAGGGGCGCCATAGGGGATGCGCCAGGGGACGTGCCAGGGGACGTGTCAGGGGACGTGCCCTGGACGTGTCAGGGACCTGCCACGGGACGTGCCAAAGCGCGTGCAAGGGGGCGGCCAGAGAACGTCATGCCACGGAACGTTGCAAGGGGCCCGCCGCGGAACGGGCACGGGAAACGCCTGGGGACGAGAAAGGAAACGCGACAGAGGACGAGCCAGGGAACGTGCCACGCCGAGTGGCGTGCTAGGGGACGTGCCAGGGCACTTCACGCCTGAACGCCGCAAGGGACGCGCCAGGGGGCGCGCCAGGGCGCCAGGGGACGCCCAACGGACGAGCGGGGTTGGACTGCGACGCACTCTGCTGCGACAAGCGTTTTGCTCCAGGCATCCTCAGCAGATCCTCATGTTAGACATCCGCCTGGGCACCCTGGACACGTGAAACCAAGCATCTCGCTCGAGACGTTCTCAACACCTCCTCATGCTGGACATCTGCCTGGGCGACCTGGACACGTGAAACCAAGCGTTTCGCTCAAGACATCCTCGACACATCCTCATGCTAGATATCCGCCTGGGCGACCTGGACACGCGAAAACGAGCGGTTCGCTCGATACATCCTCCGAACATCTTCATGCTGGACATCTGCCTGGGCGACCTGGGCAAGTGAAAGCAAGCGTCTCGCTCAACCCATTCTCAACACATCCTCATGCTAACCTCCACCTAGGCGACCTGGACACGCGAAAACGAGCGGTTCGCTCGATACATCCTCCGAACATCTTCATGTTAGACATCCGCCTGGGCGACCCGGGCACGTGAAAACAAGCGCCTCTCTCGAGACCTTGTCAACACATCATTATGCTAGACCCCCGCCTGGGTGACCTGGACACGTGAACACAAGCGTCTCGATCGAGACATCCTCAACAAATCCTCATTTTAAACATCCGCTTGGGCGACCTGGACACGTGGAAACAAGCGTTTCGCTCAACACATCCTCAACACATCGTCATGCTAGACATCCACCTGGGCGACCTGGACACGCGAAAACAAGCGTCTCTCTCGAGACATCATCAACACATCCTCATGCTAGACATCTGCCTAGACGACCTGGACGCATAAAAAGCAAGCGTCTCGCTCGAGACATCCCCAACAAATCCTGGTGCTAGACATCTGCCTGGACGACCTGGAGGCGTGAAACCAAGCGTCTCTCTCGAGACATCCTTCAGACCTGGGCACGTGAAAACCAGCATTTCACCTCAGACATCCTCTGAATTCTGGTCCCCACGAGAGGAAGGATCTATAGCACAAAGCAAACGTTTCAATCTAAACATCCTCAACAAATTATGCAAAACAAGCGTTTCGCTCGACATCCGCACCAAACGCACATGCTCACTTCACCCTGTGTTTTATCGATCGGAATTTCAAACACCAGCGTTTCGCTTGGGACATCCTCAAATTGTAATCCGCTGGCCCTCCTCGACGTCGTTATATATGCGAGAACAAATCCTACGGCCCTCTTCGAACTTGGGACTGGGGGATACATTATCACACTAAAAGAGAACCCTGGGCCCGAGCCCTTTCCGGGAAAAACGAAAAAGCTTGAACAAAAAAATAGAAGAACAGCTTTGAGTCGCAGCCCTGGCTGGTGACTGCGCTGGTTGTTGTGCTGATACTTGTGCTGGTGGTGGTTATGCAGGTGGTGGTTGTGCTGCTGGTTGCGCTGCTGATGGTGTTGGTGGCGGTAGTGCTGGTGGTTGAGCTCGTGATTGTGCAGCTTGTGGTTGCGATGGTGATTGTGCTGGCGGTTGTGATGGTGGTGATTGTGCTGGTGGTGGTGCTGGTGGTTCTACTGGCGGTTGTGCTGGTGGTTGTGCTTGTGGTGGTGTTGCATGTTGTTGAGCTGATAGATCTGCTGGTGGTTGTGCTGGTGGGTGTGCTGATGGTTGTGCTGGTAGCTGTGCTAGTGGTCGCGGTGGCGGTTGTACTGATGGTTGTGATGGTGATTGTTCTGGTGGTAGTTCTGGTGGTTGTGCTGGTGGTTGTGCTCATGGTTGTTGTGCTGGTGGTGGTTGCCTTTTTGGTTGTGTTGGCGGCTGCGCTGGCGGCTGTAACGGTGGTCGTTGTGCTGGTGATTGTGCTGGCGGTTGTGCTCGTGCTTGTGATTGTGCTGATCTGTTGGTGGTTGTAGTGGTGGTTGTGGTGGTGGTTAAGCTGGTCGTTGTGCTAGTGGTGGGTGTGCTGGTGGTTGCGCTGGTGGTAGTGCTGGCCGTTGTGCTTGTGGTTGTGATGGTGGTGGTTTGTGGTGGTTGTTGTGCTGGCAGTGGTCGTCCTGGTGGTTGTGGTGGTGGTTGTGATGGTGGTTGTGCTGGTGGTTGTGCGGGTGGTGGCTGTGCTGATGGTGGCTGTGCTGATGGTGGCTGTGCTGGTCATGATTGTGCTGGTGGTAATGCTGGTGGTTGTGCTGGTGCAGAACCACCATCACAACCACCACCGGCACATCCATCAGCTCGATTGCCAGCACAATCGCTGACACAACCACTAGAATAACCACCAACTCTACGTCATAGGCATTGCAATAATTGAACTAGGCTGTTGTGTATCACTCGAGCGGTTGTTCCATGTTGTTCCACTTAAAATGTTGAAACACCTTGTTTTAATGTAGGTCTGCGATGCTGAGGCCTGGCATGCCGTCCAAGCGTTTTGTAAGCTCCTAGATTGTATTTGTCGCATTCCTCCGGCTCATCCTCCTCCTCCTCCTCGGGGTCACCTCCTCCTTCCTCTGCGATCTCCTCCACCTCCTCCTCCTAATCCTCCTCCTCTCCTCCCTCTACTCGTCCTCCTAAGTCTCATCCGTCTCCACCCTCCTCCTGCTCCTCCTGCTTAACACTCCCTCTTCCTCCTTCTTTCGCCTCCTGCGCAGCATTCCCTTCCTGAAGGCATCCTTTTCTGACGCAGCCGCCCGTGGCCCACCGCTACAGGTCTGCTAACGGCGCCGGCTGCTCAAGGCTTGTCCGCCGCAAGTCACGTGGGCGATCTGGCCTGACCAGTGCGGCGCGACTCCTCCTCCTTATCCTCCTCCTCCTCCTCCTCCTCCTCCTCCTCCTCCTCCTCCTCCTCCTCCTCCTCCATCTCCTCCTGGTTTGTGCCTGCTGTGTATTACGCTGCCCAGCACTTGGCGAAATTGTCGAGCGAGTGTCGTCACATCATGGATGGTAATCACAAAGATCATGTAATTTGTGCCAGGCAGGGTAAATCACTTTTTGGGCCACAATACAATAAAGTTGAGCTCCGCAGGCGTGGTAGTTTTCGTAATAATAGCCGTAGTAGTAGTAGTAGTAGTAGTAGTAGTAGTAGTAGTAGTAGTAGTAGTAGTAGTAGTAGTAGTAGTAGTAGTAGTAGTAGTAGTAGTAGTAGTAGTAGTAGTAGTAGTAGTAGTAGTAGTAGTAGTAGTAGTAGTAGTAGTAGTAGTAGTAGTAGTAGTAGTAGTAGTAGTAGTAGTAGTAGTAGTAGTAGTAGTAGTAGTAGTAGTAGTAGTAGTAGTAGTAGTAGTAGTAGTAGTAGTAGGTAGCGTCGTCGTAGTAGAAGCAGGAGTAGTAGTAGTAGTAGTAGTAGTAGTAGTAGGAGGAGGAGGAGTAGTAGGAGTAGGAGTAGGAGTAGTAGTGGTAGTAAAGGAGAGGAGGACGAGGGGATGAGAGGAGGATAAGGAAAAACAGCAGCAGCAGCAACCTGGAGGCTTGGAGACCCCCCTCCAGTTCTGGCGGCGCATCTGGGGCCAAACCACGATGCAACGAAGGCTAGAAACCCCTCCTAATCGCACCGGCAAGGCCTCAAGTTTGGGAGGCTTTGCCTCCAGTACTGAAAAACATTCGAGCCACCTCCAGCCGTCTTTCGGCACTATTTGAGCCTGTTCGACGGCAGCATGCTGGAGGTGCGGTCCTGGGCGTCTTTGGAGGCCGTTGTGGAACCCTCTTGGGGGCTTGCATGGTCATTTCGAACTCTCTTGGGGCCGCTTTGGGGCTGGCTTGGGAGCTTCTCTTGGGCCGTCGTCGGGCCCTCTCAGGGCCGTGCCGAGGCCGTCTTGCCCATCTTGAGCCGTCTTGAAGCCGTCTTTAACCAGCCTCGAACCGATCCCTATCCCTAAGATGGGCGAGCAAAAAGCGAGGACAATCTTAGGGACAGGCCCTCAGAAACTGAGGGAATCATCAAGATCGGCATCGAGGTAAGATGATATCAAACATAGGGATAGGGATATGTTTCAAACTGGTGAGTCTTGGGCGGTCGGAAGCAAGGAAGAGTGAAGGCACAACAATCCTCCAAACACCTCCAGAACATCCATGTGTTTGGCCTCAGCAAGGGCTCGAGCACCCATGCACCATCGACTCCTGGGTCGAGGAGCGTCGACGCCACGGGAGACGCCAACGCGGTACGGTGCACACAAGCCGTGCGCGGATGCTTGGATCGGGGCGGGACCCCCCCCCATTGCGCGCGGAGCGGGGCAAAATAGGCGCAGCCAGGATGGCCCGGCACAGATCCGAGAAACCCCAGACCTTCCGAGGTGTTGTGTGTGCAAGTTGTTTTTGGTGAGACCCGAACCCTGCCCCCACCAACCGTACAGGAGGGCCCGACCACAAGAAACCTTCCACAAGAAGCCCAACCCTGAGACCCCAGAACGTCCATAGATTTTGGTGTGGGGACGTTACCTTTTCCGTAGCATAACCCTCGAAACCCAAGAAACCCAGGGCACCCTGGAGGCAAGCAGGATGTTTCTTGGCATGGGCTTCCACTGCAAATTCTCCTGAATCGATGGGAGGTGGGGTCAGGGTTCGGATGCCACTCCGCGTTCGACGAATTCCGAACGCTAACCCCGCCGCCCATAGTCGCCCGAATCGTTGATGGGCGAGGGTAGGGTTATGTTGCCACCATCAGACGTAAGGACCACATCCCAGAAATGCTTAAGGACCACATCCCAGAAATAATTCCGAACACCCAGAGCAACATCGAAGCAATGCATGTCCGACACGCTGGCGAAATGCCGAACGAGCATCGCCTCCCAGGGCCCAACACGTGAAAACCCTGCAATTTTTGGATGCCTTTCTGGCGCGCGAGATTCAATCACGCCTAACGCAGGTCGGAACATCATAATGGTACGTAGGGTGGACAAGGGCAAATTCTAGGAAAACGAAGAATGACATTAACATAAAAACTCGGAGGTCCGCGCGGATTTCTCGGATCCGCGCTGGACCCCGTTCCCTGGCGCGCGGAGCGTGCCGGGGGCGGCGCCGGAGGCGCCGCCAAAGGGCTTCGGCGCGGATCCGAGACATCCGCGCGGACCTCCTGTTGATGTCATTGTTCGTTCCCCTAAATTCGGTCACCATCGGACCCCAGACCCCTTCAAGGGTCCATCTGTCGGACCGGGCGAAAGGGGGGGATAGCAAAGGGGGGGTTTGAAAAGGTGGGGCCGTAACCAGCTGCCTGCAGTAGATTTCGTGACCCCCCCCTTTCCCAATCCCTCCCTTTCGTCCGGCCCGGATCTCTTGCCGTCACTCGGACGTCCACTTCCCGTGCATTTGCTGGCTTCGCGCGTGTTTCTGATGCTCGGTGGTACAGGATGGCCCTCGATGGTTCTCGCCGAGAAAAAATGCACACGTCCGAGCGACGCCAAGATCTGCTGCTTTAGACGCCCGAAATGGGTACGGACAAAAATGGGTACAATGCCCAACAACAAATGTTGTCCCAAACCAACAGCGGCCGCTGTTGGGCAGGCGGCCTTCAGTCCCGAATGGACACAGGCCGCGGCGGCGCGGACAGCGAGTCCTGTTCAAAAGGAACAGGAACTGCTGTTGGGCATTGAGCCCATTCTTTCCGTGCCCATCTCGGGCATCTCCGTGCCCATTTCCGGGCCCAGGATGGTCCTCGATGGCTCTCGCCGGGAAAAAATGCCCACGTCCGAGCGACGCCAAGAAATCTGCTGCGGCCTCTCTCGGCTACACGCAGGAGTGACCCTTGGTAAGAGTGACCTTTGGTGCGCGGCTTTTTGAGGGCCGCGGGGGGACCAAACACAGGCGCGCAAGACGTCACTATCGTCTCGCGTTCGGCGATTGGGGGGCCCCACTGGGCCCGCACCCAAGGTCACTCCGGCGAAATGTCACTCTTACGTCTAGGAGGAGGAGGAGGAGGAGGAGGAGGAGGAGGAGGATGCTGTTTCGAAGGGGGCAGGAGGATGAGGAGGCTTTTTCGAAGGGGCGTGCCTCCTCAAGAGGCTCGGCAGCCCTCCGGCCCTCTAGAAAACGTCTCCTGCGCCCCCGCCGGAGACACGGAGGACACCTCGCGGGAGGCGCGCAGGCTTCTGGGGAGTCCCGCCGCCTTCCGAGCAGGCCTTCTCCTTGTCACTTCCCCTCTGGGGAGGAGACAGGTAACAACTCCCTCGATCTCTCGAGGGCGAGGCCTTTGCTGCAAGGCCTCAGGGTCAATGATGTCGTCGTCGTCGTCGTCGGTCGTCGGCGGTCGTCGTCGTCGTCGGCGTCGTCGTCGTCGGTCGTCGGCGTCGGCGTCGGCGTCGGCATCGAGGGTCAGCGCCGAGCTTTGCCCCACCACTGCCGACCGCCTCGTTCTGCACTGCTCCCTCGCCAAGAATTTGGGCGCTCCGCCGAGGGGAGGCCGCGGGGCGGCGCGCGGAGGGGGGCGCGGCCGCCCACGGCTCGCCTACTCGTCGTCGCCGTCCTCCTCGACCGCGGCGGCCTGCACGGCCACGGTGTCCAGCTCGCGCTGGCCCTCCTTGGGGGGGGGCGGCGGTTCGCTGTCGTCGTCGGCGGCGGCGCCGCCGCCGTCGGCGTCGTCGTCGGCGTCGTCTGCGGCGACGCCGTGGGCGTCGGTTTTGGCATCGTCGGAGGGCGCGGAAGGCCGGGGTGGGCGACGGCGCCGAGCGCGGCTCGCCCTTCTCCTTCCACCATCCTTCCTCTGCATCAGCAGCTCCTCCGCCTGGCCACCGGACGTGTCCGCAGGCCGCAGGCCGGGCTGGACGGTTCGGCAAAGATTTTCTGTAAGCTACCCCGAAGCTCAGCAGCTCCAATTCCACGGGTGGAGGGCCGGTCGCTTTCACAAGGTGGCTCTCGCCGCAGCGCCCGCGCACACTCGGCTTTGAACGCTGCCACGGAAGGCACGGACGGAGGGCCGTGTGTTCTCAGAACCCGGCTATCACCCTAGAAGCCCGCGCAATCCGCCTGGCAAGCTTCCAGCAGCGGCGCGGATGCGAGGGCGGTCACTTTCATCATGTGGTTCCCTCGTCTGCGGTCGGAGCGCCGCGCAAATTCGTCTCAAACGTGTCCAACAATGACGTGGACGGAGGGCCGGTGGTTTTCACAATCACGCGGGTCCTGTCTCAGCGCAGCGCGCAGTCGTATTGAGAAACTCCCGCCAGTTACACGGATTGGGGGCAGTACATTTTCACGCAACTGGGCTGTCGCCAGAAACTCCATGCAAGACGCATGCAAACAGCGCGACGTGGCGCAACGGCTATATTCGGATGGAGGGCGTTTCCTTTTTCAAGCTGGGCTCTCGCCTGAAACTGCGTGAAACCGGGTGGAACAGGTACGCGGATACGACGCGGCCCCTACTGCCGGACCTAAGCCAGAAGAACACCACTCGAAAACATGAGACCCTGGGCCAGCCAGGACGCACAAAACATCCACGGGGCACCCTCCCCAGGACGCACAAAAACATCCCACAAGCATGAAGAACGCTAAGGGGCACCTCCCCCGAACCGAACTGGATCTTATAGTTAGGTCGGGCATGCCCTCGTACAAGGGAATGTTGGAAGACGAAAGAATGCAACAAACGCCCCGCATATAATTTCAAGCATGGTCAAGACATCGTATCCAGACTACAGCTGGACGATGTGTGAATCTTCTCCTGTAGAGGAAGAGGCCTGACGTGTGTGTGTGTGTGTGGTGTGTGAGTGCGTGGTGTGTGTATGCGTGGTGTGCGTGTGCGTGTGCGTGTGCGTGTGCGTGTGCGTGTGCGTGTGCGTGTGCGTGTGCGTGTGCGTGTGCGTGTGCGTGTGCGTGTGCGTGTGCGTGTGCGTGTGCGTGTGCGTGTGCGTGTGCGTGTGCGTGTGCGTGTGCGTGTGCGTGTGCGTGTGCGTGTGCGTGTGCGTGTGCGTGTGCGTGTGCGTGTGCGTGTGTGTGCGTGTGCGTGTGCGTGTGCGTGTGCGTGTGCGTGTGCGTGTGCGTGTGTGCGTGTGCGTGTGCGTGTGCGTGTGCGTGTGCGTGTGCGTGTGCGTGCCTGTGCGTGCGTGTGCGTGTGCGTGTGCGTGTGCGTGTGCCTGTGCGTGTGCGTGTGCGTGTGCGTGTGCGTGTGCGTGTGC